GGCAGTGCAGCCCACGTGCTGGGGACCTTGCTCCCCTAGCCGGCCCTGCCCGCCAGCTCTGGACGAGCGCAGCAGAGCGCCAGGCATGGCGGGGCCAGTGGTGTGGGCACCCACCCCGGGACCGCCCCTGGGGAGGCCTCCATCTGCTCTGAGGGCCCACCTTAAAACTAACCGGCCAGGTAACTGCGGAGGGCAGCCGCGGCAGCCGGCCAGGGAGGGTAGCTGCCAGTGCCAGGACGCCTGCGCCCATGCCACCTGCACACATGGGGCCTGCCCCGGGCCTCCAGCTCCGTCAGTCTCCAGGCTGCCTGGGCTCTTGGGTTGGGATCAGGCCCCTGAGGAGCAAGGGGTCCTAACTATTGGCCCCATCAGACCCTGGAGGGAGGACGGAATGGATGGGTTGGGGGCTGGGGGTACCCGAGCAAGCAGGAGAGGGAAGGGCAAAACTCAGGCCTTGAGCCTGGCTATCAGCAAGGGGCAGAGGCCATGCAGCCAGTGGGGAGGAGCAGAGCTGAGCCATGGCTGTGGCTGCAGTGGGCAGAGGAGGTGGGGAGGAGGCGCCCCTTCCTTTCCCCAGAGGCAGTCTGAGGAGGAGGCTGGGACCAGTGTTGTGGAAGCCTGAGGGGAAGACATAGCCTTTCCTGTGGGGTCCTCTGCTTGGAGAGGACATCCCTGGGCATGCTCCTATCATGGGAGACACATCCAGTGTTCTCTGGGAAGCATCTATCTGAAAGGGAGCCCTCCACCCTCTGGGGAGTTCTGGGCCATTGGGAGACATGGCCAGGGAGAGAGCTATTTGCCCACCCGTGTGGGGGAACCCCACACTGAAGAGGAGGCAGGGCCCTGTCTTGGGGGATCTCTGACCTGAGGGACAGATCTGGTTTCCTCTCTGGGGAGTCTGCTGTGAGGGGGGGCACAGTTCCACCTTTCGGGGCCCTGGCCTAAGCAGGGAGCCTGAGGCCTCTTTGTTGGGGATCTCAGTTTGAAGAGAGAACAGTCCCATTTTGGGGGAACTCCTAGTTTGAGGGAAGATAGATCCCACCTCAGGGAGTCCCAGGGGGGTGGGGAGGGGGAATGTGGATCTTATTTTTAGGTCCCTCTCTGAAGGAGAGGGAGGCTCAGCCTGTACTAGGCCACCTGTCTAAAGAAGGACACTGGTCTCTGGCCATTGGGACCCTTGTGAGGGTGAGAGGAGCCCTTGTTTGTGTAGAGGCCAGGACTCTGGCTCTGGCCGTATCTGCCTGGCCAGCCCTGGACCACGGTCTCCTTGTGGCTCACTGTGTGTGGCTCCAAACCACTCCCCACTCCCCTGAGGGCATGGGGACATCAGCACAGTGGCCAAACTCACAACCAGGGCGCTGGGCCTGCCAGGCCTGTACCCTCCCCAGCTCCAGGTAGCCCTGGGGCTTCTCTTGAGGGGTCTCTGCTATCTCATGATGCTCCTAGGGACCAGTCCAGCGGGTTGTGCCTGGGTCAGTTTTCTTGCTACCAAGATGGCCTCCAGTCAGCTCTTTTTTGTGGGGGGGGGGTTCAGGAACTAGGAGGGTGCAGAGCACTGAGCCCTACCTGAGCTGGCCCACATGAGCAACTGCTGCTCATTGTCTCTCTCCAGGGAGCCCCTACCTGGGCTCTTGAATGCCTCCCTGGGTTCTCTTCTGGGCGGTGGCTGCCCTGTCTTCTGACCTCCTCTCTTCTGGCCAGTCCATTGGGTCCCTCCAGCTTGGATGGCTCCTCCTTCCCTCTTCTGTCATAGCACTTGGCTGGGACAGTGGGAGGATCTCCCAGCCCAGCCCAGGACACCTGGCCCCCAGACTGGAGGGGTGGGCTCTGGGGAGGGCGCACAGCCCTGCCTCATCACCACCTGTCAGCTTTGTTGCCACAGTCTGTCTGGGACCTGGGTGGGCTGGGGTGTGTCCGTGTTCTGCCATCGGGCCTGGCCTTCCTGGGGGTGGGGTCCTGTTGACCCCCACGCCCTGACTGCAGGGGCCAAGCCTGCACCCTGCTGCTGCGTGGGGAGCCCTCCCCACAGCGGAGCGGGGTGGGTGGATCAGGTGGGGAGTGGGCTGCCTAGCCTCCCACCACCCCTGATGAGCCAGTCTCTCTCTCCCCCTTCTGTCCTGCTCCAGATGGCAGCTCAGAGGCAGCGGGCGCTGGCCATAATGTGCCGGGTCTACGTGGGCTCCATCTACTATGAGTTGGGGGAGGACACCATTCGCCAGGCCTTTGCCCCCTTTGGCCCCATCAAGAGCATTGACATGTCCTGGGACTCCGTCACGATGAAGCACAAGGTGAGCAGGCATGGCCTGTCCCTGCCTGCCCCCCTCACTGGGCTCTCCCAGCCTAACAGGCACTTCCCTGCATCTAGGGTTTTGCCTTTGTGGAGTATGAAGTCCCAGAAGCTGCGCAGCTGGCCTTGGAGCAGATGAACTCAGTGATGCTCGGGGGCAGGAACATCAAGGTGAGGGCGAGGGAGTTGGGCTTAAAGCAGGAACGCGCAAGACATGCACACAGCAGCCCCTCCACAGAAGCCTGAAGTGGCCAGGCCTGGGCTGAGGTGTAGGTCTTTATAACCCTGCTTCTTCCCCAGGTGGGCAGACCCAGCAACATTGGGCAGGCCCAGCCGATCATAGACCAGCTGGCTGAGGAGGCACGAGCCTTCAACCGCATCTACGTGGCATCTGTGCACCAGGACCTCTCAGACGATGACATTAAGAGTGTGTTTGAAGCCTTTGGCAAGATCAAGTCTTGCACGCTGGCTCGGGACCCCACGACTGGCAAGCACAAGGGCTACGGTTTCATTGGTGAGCTCGGGATGCTGAGGCAGGGGAGGGGGCCCACCCTGTGCGGGGGTTGGCCCTCACTGCTGCTCCTGCCTTGCAGAGTATGAGAAGGCCCAGTCGTCCCAGGATGCTGTGTCTTCCATGAACCTCTTCGATTTGGGTGGCCAGTACTTGAGGGTGGGCAAGGCTGTGACACCTCCCATGCCCCTGCTTACACCTGCCACACCTGGAGGTCTCCCACCTGCTGCTGCTGTGGCTGCAGCTGCAGCCACAGCCAAGATCACAGCTCAGGTGAGGGCTCATGCAGTTGTATGTGTTTGACAGTGGCGGGCAGGACCCCCAATACTTTGGGGACAGGTTCTTCGGGTGGCCTTAAGTGCGGATAGCCCAACTGGGGACTGAGTGTGGTGGCCTTTTGGGTTGTAGGAAGCAGTGGCTGGAGCAGCAGTACTGGGTACCCTGGCCACACCCGGACTGGTGTCACCAGCACTGACCCTGGCCCAGCCCCTGGGTGCTTTGCCCCAGGCTGTTATGGCTGCCCAGGCCCCTGGAGTCATCACAGGTGAGTCTGAGCAGGTCCAGGTCCCATCCTTTCCTGCCCCCTCACCTCCAGACTGTCTGCCGTCGGTTGCCCTCAGCCCCCTGGCCCGTGTGACCCTCTGAGCTCAGGGTGGCCAGCCATGGCTGACCAGCTCGGCTTCTTCCTGGGAAGGCCTTGGAAGGCAAGAGTAACTGCTGGACCTGGTTGGTTTTGCTGCAGGTGTGACCCCAGCCCGGCCCCCCATTCCAGTCACCATTCCTTCTGTGGGAGTGGTGAACCCCATCTTGGCCAGCCCTCCCACTCTGGGTCTCCTGGAGCCCAAGAAGGAGAAGGAAGAGGAGGAGCTGTTTCCCGAGTCAGAACGGCCAGAGATGCTGAGTGAGCAGGAGCACATGAGCATCTCGGGCAGCAGCGCCCGCCACATGGTGATGCAGAAACTGCTCCGAAAGCAGGAGGTGGGCGCCAGATCCTGGCAGAGTGGGGCTGGGTGGGCGCAGCTGGTCCCAGCAGGCCACAGCTCTCAGCTGTCCCCTCCCCACAGTCCACAGTGATGGTTCTCCGCAACATGGTGGACCCCAAGGACATCGACGATGACCTGGAGGGGGAAGTGACAGAGGAGTGTGGCAAGTTCGGCGCCGTCAACCGCGTCATCATCTACCAGGAAAAGCAGGGCGAGGAGGAGGATGCTGAGATCATCGTCAAGATCTTTGTAGAGTTCTCCGTAGCCTCAGAGACTCACAAGGCCATCCAGGCCCTCAACGGGCGCTGGTTCGCAGGCCGCAAGGTGGTGGCAGAAGTGTACGACCAGGAGCGTTTTGATAACAGCGATCTCTCCGCGTGACCTTGGCTCCCTTCCCCAGACTTGCATTTGTTCCTTGTGTCCTCTGGGTTTTGTAGAGTAAACGGCGTCCCTGGGCCCGGTGCCCTGCCAGCCCAGCCTGTAGTGTGGATAAAGGTGCACGTGCTGTCGGCCCCGAACGTCCCTGTGTCCGACGCTGGCTCTGCTTCCCAGCCTGGGCGTGTGTCCGCGGGCGCCCCTTCCGGCGCCGGGGGAGGGGGGCGCGGTCCTGCGGGAGCAGCTCGGCCCGCCGGCCGCGAGGAAATGTTTGCAAAGAACA